ACCCATACAATGTATTTTTGGCTGTTGCTACAAATATACCTGTGCTACTTACTGGTTTTGTGCTCCAGGGTCACACATAGGCTTGTGCATGATGGAACGATTAACTTCTTACGAAATGTATACATTTTGGGGGGAGGAGGAAAAAAAACCACCCTAAATATTATTACATTTTGTATTCGTATATTTAAATACACATTGTGCGAATAAATCGCCTAAATGGTGTTTAAACTAGGAAAAAAGCTTAAAAGTAGGTCGCCATTTGTGACACGCCTCTCCCGTCTTATGAATGAAATGGAACAGGCCGCTGATGCCACGCCCCCTCCGCGCTCAACGTTATTGTTGTTTATGTCAGTCAGAGACGTTTGATGGAGGAAGTGACCAAAAACACCCAAACAAACCTGTCGAGTTTCCCCAAAAGCGACAACTCCCGCAGCTTTTCAGGGACGTTATGAAAAATAGGATTATTGCCCCGAAACATATGTTAACACAGGGGGTAATAAACTCATGGAGCTGCGCAACGGCACACAGGGGAGAATAACGCGCCTCCGGCGGAGCTGCAAGCGAGCCAAGCCGCCCAGCGTCAACATGAGGCGGGATGCCAGTAAAGTTCTGCGCCCGCTGCCTGTGGAGACCAACGAGGATGATGAGGAGCTCATGGAGGAGGAGGACTGTTTCTCCACGGGCTTCCTCAAGCGTGACAGTCTCCATCCCGCGGTGTTCCTCAAGACGCCCAGGTATAGCTTGATCCGGGAGGTGGGTCGCGGGAGCTACGGTGTGGTGTACGAGGCCGTCGCCCGCAGGTCCGGAGCCCGGTTGGCGGTGAAGAAGCTCCGCTGCGACGCTCCAGAGAAAGTGGAGCTGGCGCTGGCGGAGTTCTGGGCCCTGGCGAGCCTGGAGAAGAAGCACGAGAATGTGGTGCAGCTGGAGGAGTGCGTGCTGCAAAGAAACGGGATGGCACAGAAAATGAGCCATGGGAACAAACGAAACAAGCAGTATTTGAGATTAGTGGAAACTTCACTCAAAGGTAAAGAACCGTAGAGCTGTTGCACTGAATGCACAAGTCATGATGTGAACTGATATTGATTGAGATCTGATTTATTTTTCTTGAGTGTCAACACAAGTGGATTGTTTAGTGTCGTAGTACATATGCATTTTGAGATGCATAAAAGCAATGCAACTTTGTAAGCATGATACATTGCACGATTTTAATGTAATGCATGCCTGTTATTGGGCATCTTAAATGCATGTCATTAAACGTGCACTAAGTAGGAAGAGAAGGCATTCTGTGCGTGAGGGAACATCATGTTCCAGCACCCATCATGCATTAACCCCTTCACTCCCATATAGGCCAGTTTGGATGTTCACCTCTGCTAATCTGCTTTAGTCTTTGTGTGCAGCTTTCAAAGTTTGAGTCACTTTTCCCAGTGGTTTTCCAGTAGATTTAATAATATTGTCGTTTTCGTGTCATTTGTAGGCTTGCTGTCAAAATCAGATTAGATTAAAGTCTACTGTCATTGAGCAGAATACAAGTACTTTTGAAGACATTTCCAGGATAAAGATTACTTTTTAAGTAATTGCAATCTCAAAAGCTCAATTTGAGCTCATTAGGTGTTTTAGAGTGGTGCATAACTTCAAAATGTAAATTGGAAATAGACATTTTTATTAGTTGTTATAATTGTATTGCTTTGTATTGTAGTAGGCCTGGAAATCATATTATTTTTTTTCTTCTATTTCCATGCCGTGAACCCTGAATATAGTTTTGACATGAATTATTTACACATCCTGCAGTCTGACATGCTGTACTCCATCTGTTTTAAATGGGATTTGTGAATATGTTAATCACACACAAAAATGACACACAATGTGTATAATTTTTCAAATGGCACGTTGGCGTTTTGTGGTTTGGTGTGTTGAGGTTGCGTGTTTGTGGTGTCGTGTGAGTACTATATTTGTGGTTGTGCTCAGCAGTAGCAGGATCTATTTTGTGCTGACTGCTGTTGTTATGTAAGTGTCACCTTTTAGTGGCCTCGTCCACAATGGAAAAACTAATCCACACGCGACAGGCTGGTTATAGGAATTATTCGAATATGCATTTTTTGCTGATGCATTTTGGGTCATTTAATGTTGTTCTACAAATATTTGTATGAGTTTGGGAATTATTGACATATGTCTATCTGACTAGGCCAGTTTTTTGTGTTTGTGACTTGTGATCAGTAGGTCATTTGGCTAATAAACACATTTATGGATCACAACTTAGTTTATCGCAAGAATTCCTTTTTTTTTTTATTGCCAGCCAAAGCTCTTTGACCTAAAGTATTTCTTCTTGATCACTGTGTGCAATTTGAGTCACTTTTGCTTTATTTTTCTAGTAGATGTATTAATATACTGTCATTGTGCAGAGTTGACA